GGTTCAGAGAACCAGTATATCCTTGAGTACTGGCAGTGACTGCTGTCCTGCTGCTTCTCAGACTTTTGAACTGAGTGACTGTAGAGCTGATTTGGGGCCACCAGCTTAATGAAAGCAGCCATCCTTTTACTGGGGAGAGATCAGAGTGCTGTGCTGTCCCTGTGTTGCCTGTGTTTTGCTACCTTCTTGGCACAGATACTGTACAGGGCTGTCCCAGACACACATGCTGTTGGGACTAGGCAAGCAGCATGAATTGGACTCTTGCAGCAGACTTTGTTTTAAAAAGTAGTTTAACACTGACTTGAATCATGCTGGGGCCTTCTTGGTCCTTAATCAGCTCAGGATCTGACGCCTATACAAGATGTGCAAAGCTTTATACGCTGCTCCTACTTGCTCCCTTCTGCTTAGCTTGTCAAGAAGCGGGTATTTGGCACATGAGACTGGTTCTTTAGAGCTCTTGTTTTGACACATAACCTTGTAGCATTATCTGTTTTAATACCAGATGGAATAAATCCTCTCTTCTATTTTCTGTATTTGGCTTATGCTGAACTTCAGGCTCAGCGCTATCACTCAGGGACAGGAAAAGCTGTGTCACCAGCAGAACTGTGCTGGGAGAGGTGCTTGGTAGAGCAGCTACAAAAGCATAGACTTTACCCTGGGAGCCACCACCACTGTAGTGTTCTCAGCAGTATGGTCCCAGCCCAGCTTGATGCTGCCAACACACATCAGAAGCACTTCAGCTGTAGCCTGCTGTTTTGCCACTTTGCTGGGGCAAGAAGTTGTGGCTGTTAGTGTGTTCAGTTAAGTTCACTTGACTGTATATTTGTATTCATAAAACCATAATGAGTTGAAGGGTGGACTCAAATATTTTTTTGTCACTGAGGAAGGGGAAATCTTTGTGCACATCACCGAGATAAAGCTGCATTGTGTGGGATGTTACTGTGAGAGGTCTTCCCATCACCGAGTCGAATACTGCTACTGCCTGAAGCCATGGCAGGCATCACTACACTGTTTTTTTGGAGGAGAAATAGATGATGGAAGAAGAGGAGTTAATAGAAAAAAAAATGTAACCACTGTCTTTCAGTGTGCATGAATCCTACAGTATATCCTGAGCAGCAAAATAATCTTAGTACAAAGAGCTTTCCCTAGGGTTAAGAGGGATGTTGGGCTTCCCTCACTTCAGGAAGAGGGTAAACGCCAATCAAGCTTCTCTTTGACTTTGCTGTGATTTGTCTCTGGAATTTGCCAAGCCATGCATTTTGCTGCCAGATCAAAAAGAACAGCTTTTAAAATCATGATCCCAGTGATGCTCTACCCAGGCCCAGGGTCGTACTGTGTGGACTTCCCTCCAAATTTCAATCCTAGACTAGGACTTTCAAGGAAGTGTTTTGGGACCAGTGAGTCAGATGGGTGGAGAGAGAAAATTTTCTTCTCTCCAGTGGCCAAGAGCTGTTTCCAAGAACGAGAGCTGGAGCCATTCCAGGGAAGGAGCAGCAAGCTGCACAGTGGGGGTGTGGGACTTCCCTATCGTTTTATGATTTCTAGCTGCTCAGGGAGAGAACTTGCCCCTGCGTTGTTGTTAGATCCCAGCTTTTATCTTTGAATGCTACTTGTTATATGGAGTGACTCTCAGGCGTGGGAGGCAGATATTCAGCATCTCTGGACTGGCACTGCTGCTGGTGGTGTGTCAGCAGCCGTATCCATGTCAGACAGATTTTGAAGCCAGATAACCCCTGAGAGCAAACTGCTGCAGGCTGCAGAGGGGAAGAAGGCAGGCTGAAGCACTCTGGCAGGCAGGAGATGAGCCAGAAGGATTCAGCTACTCTTTTGTAGTTACAATAAAACTTCTGAAGTGCAAGTATGCTCAGGAGGACCCAAACATCAACCCAGGGGTGTGGGGACAGGTCAGGGCAGAGGAGGCAGTAGCTCATCATGGCATCCCTGCACTCTTATCCTGCCTGCTGTCTCTACTTCTTCCCAAAGCTCTTGTGGTGTTGCTCTCACATTCAGGGGCTGCTGGCTCAGAACAGAGAGCGGGGTCTGTGTTGCACACAGCTAGGAGTGTGAAAACTTTCTGGTGGAAATGCACAAAGAGCAGCCAGAGCCAGAAATTCCAGGTACCCCCTGCCACAGCTCTGTGGATGCTCTGGGAGCACCTGCAGTTTCTCTGAGTGCTTGTCTCTTCACATGAACTCCCAAGGACTTGGTTCAATTCCAGTCTGACCACAGTTTCCACTTGCATTTGTGATGGATGAAGGCAAGTAGCGTAATTAGCGATTGCTCGGAATCCCACAGTTGTTCTTGGCGAGTGAGGCAGCATCCTGACATGACGGATGTTTCTTTGTGCATGGATGAAAAGCAGTATTAGGATGTGGAGCATGTTCTTAAAAATCTAAAATGACCTTTGAGCTCTAAATCACTGCAGTACAGGGAAGCAGCTTTTGGCTGCCAGATTAGCATCAATCCCCTTCTGTAGAGAAGGGAGTGCCTGGGAACAGATTGCTGACAGCTGTTGGAAATAAGTCTCTTGACTTCACTGAGCTGTACTGAGGGCAACAGGGGCTCTGAGTAGGTTCAGGGTAAGAGGCACACCTCACAAAAGCCAGAAATCAGGTCCTCAGTTGATAGGCTCAGTTGGGAGACCAGGAGGGTAATTTAGTGTGGGATTTGTTCAAAATACAAGAGGTATTCTATTTTTGGAAATCACAGGTCCTTAGGGATCTGTCCGTGCCTACAAAAAAAAGCCTTTGCCAGGAGGGAGCATGGCTCCAGATGTTTGAGGCTGGAGAGGGAGAGGGGATTCTTGCAGAGCAGCATCACTGAGCACGCAGATGCTGGTGGGGAGGAATGCTGTGGGCGGCCCCAGCACAAGGGGTGCTGTGTGGGGCAGCACACAGACTGCTTTACCAGGCTCTCTCCTCGCCCACTCAAGGTCATGAGAAGACCTTCCTTGCTGTCTAGTGGAAAATACCAGGGAACTGTTTATGTCCCACTTAGGCTGGAGATCCTCGTCACAGAGGAATGTCTGTGCTCAGAGCTGCATCTTTGCTTCGGTCACCAAAATCGGGGAGGGCAGCTGATCACAACAGCTGGGGGAACTGGAGTTTCCTAAGGCTCTGGACAGGGTGGCAAATCACATTTGAGAAGAGAATCTGTCAGTTTTCTTCACTTCTTGTCATAGAAAGGTCTTCTCTGGTGAAGTGATGCTCCCAGGGCCATGTATCCTGCAGCCAGATACAGTGCAGCCCCATCCTGCCCCAGGTCCCTGTCTTGTGAGAGCTTCCCTGGCACAAGGGTTTGGATCGCTCTCCATTGTAGCTATGCAGTTACCCAGAGCCATGGTCATCCCACCTGCTCTTGCACCTCCAAGTAGGTGTTTGAATTGGTAACACCTGCAGCCAGGGCTCCCTCAGCAACAGCACAGACAGCAGCTGCTCCCAGTGCCTGCAGCTCCTTCCCAGGTTTCTCTTTGTCCAGCCTAACTCTGCAAGCTGCCTCTTTCTGCTGGCAGCATCCGGACTCATTCCCCCTCTCCTTTGTTAGCTGGAGTTCTTGTAATCTGAGTTTATTATAAATCCGCTGGGTTTGGGAGCAGCTTTGGATAGCTATGCCAAAACTGAACCATATGTGTATTTATTCCTGAACATCGTGCTGACATAACAAAAACCTCTTGCCCTCTGGCAAGCCTTGGAGCAGCAGCTAGACTTAGTAACATCAAGAAGTGGGGTTGGAGAAGAGCAAGTCAGCACTGATGAATAAAGGACACAGAGCTATGGGACACTGGATATTCAGAAGAGGGAAGGCATGCACTGACCACAGGTTAGCGGCTGACTGCAGAGCCTGGCACTTGAAGCAAAGCACAGGCCCTGCGGTTGGGTGCTGCAGGCAATTCCCTGTTCCATCAGGCTAAGCTGAGCCACAGGCTCAGAGCTGAAGGGCTCCTGCTGGCGGTGGGGCTGAATGGTTAGACATTCTTGATGAACAACCCTGTACTAACACGTGGTTCTTGTTCTGCACAGGGGAAGGGGCTGCGGTATTACTTCGCTCTTTGGAACCTCTTCAGGGTTTAGACGCAATGAGAGAGCTGCGCAGTGCTTCGAGGAAAGGAGCCACAAAGCTGCTGAAGGACTGGCAGCTGTGTAACGGGCCCTCCAAGCTCTGCCAAGCATTTGGGATTGATAAGGCTTTTGATCAAAGGGACCTGACTCAAGATGCAGCCATCTGGATGGTACCTGGACATGTCCTACCAGGGGAGCAGGACGTGGTAGCCACAACAAGGATTGGTATTGGCAACAGGGGAGAGTGGGCACAGAAACCTCTCAGGTTTTATTTACGAGGAAACAAATTTGTGAGCGTTGTAGACAAGAAAATGGAGAGAGAGATGGGAGCAGTGGGACACTTCTCTTGCAGCTGATGAGTCTTGCAAGCATGCCACTGACCAGGACCTGAGCTGTGCTCTGTATGGTAGCCTTAAGCTATGTCATGGCAGCAAGGGCAGACATAGTGGCTTGGAGGTTTTTAACAATAAATGTACTTTATCATAATGAATGGGGCAAGGTGGAATTTTATTTCTGGAGCAGACTGGCATGGGTCTCCCAGCCAGAACTGAGGTTGGTTTTGGACGTTGAAGGACACTTTGTCCCTTGCCAATGGATCCAGGCTCAACTGAGGTGGATAAGTGGTGCAGGTTTCACAGTTGTGACCTCCTGTGCTGCTTGGCCCCAGCAGAGGCCATCACTTGGTTGCTGCAGGGGAATAGTCAAACGACTGGATGGTAGCAGGGCTGACTGAAAGGATGAGAGCTGGGAGAAGAGGAGGTAAAGGAGGGATCTTACTGTTGTCCACAACTACCTTGTGGAGGGTGTAGAGAAGAGAGAGTCAGGCTTTTGTCAGACAGGATGGGAGGCAATGGGTACAAGCTGGAAAACAGGAAATTCTCATTATCTGTATGGAAAAAATTTTTACCATGAGGGTGGCCAAACACTAGAACCAGGGGCCCAGAGAAGCTGTGGGACACTCAAATCTCCACTGGACAAGCTCCTGAGTGACCCGATCTAACACATTTTCTTTGAGCGGAGGTTTGGACAAAAGACCTCCAGGGACCCCTTCCAACCTATACCAGTCTATAACATCCAGCTTGGAGAACAAGAATGTTTTTTGTTTGTTTTCCCAGCTGCTTTTGAGACCAGTTCAAAACTTACCAGTCTGTGAACTCCAACACAGAGAATGCACTGATTCTGAGATGTTGCAGCCTGCCATGGGGTACAGGGAGGAAAAACCTCTAGGATTTAGGGCAGAACCTGCAGAATTGCAGCCATACTGGCAGTTTGAAGGGTGACAGGGACACACCTCCCCACCCTCACTTAGGATTCATATGCAAGAAAAAAGCTCAAGTTTTTCAAAACCCTTGTCCCCATCACATGAACTAAAGTCTTGTTTGGCCCCTTCTGAACAGCCCTTGTTACGCCTATCTCAGTAACTCACCTTGAGATGCAGTTGTGGGGGGCTGGTTGGGAGTGGGGCCCTACAGCAATGTTGATCTGATTTTTAGGTTAGATATTGCTTTTGCTCTTCTGTAAAATCCCTGCTTGCAGCTGCAGAGGAAGACTCACTGAAGGAACTGTGAGTAAGTAGCTGTCATCGGGTACCTGGTGCACTGTGGGTACTGGGCTCTGTCGGCACGATTGTGCCTGGTGGTAGATAAGTTATATAAAGCTCACAGTTTCACCCAGTTTGTGTGGGCAAGTGAAGCTGCTCAGCGAGAGCCTGCAACTCTGGGAAGAACTCCAGCGCGTGTGTGTGGTATAAGGGAGGGTCTTAAGGAGGAGTCTGGCAGTTTTTTAACACCACACGCCCCTGGAAGCTGCCACCATGGAGGTAAAGGTCTCCCCCCCCACCCCCTTCCCTGGGTACGCAGCACAGAGCACTGAGCAGCTGTGGTGAACAGTGGCCTCACGCAGGCCAGAGGTGAGCTGTTATAAGCTCCTGCTGCCCCCCCCCCCGGAACAAGGGCCAGCCCTGGCATGGCTGGAGGAGCAGTCCTGAACCAGATCAGGAAACACAGCCATGTAAGGACCTGTATCTTGTTTTTCAGCTGGTAGCTTTAACCCAAGCCAGGTTCCCAGTCTGGTTCCCTGCAACCACAGCCATGCTTGCACAGAGGGGACTGGAGGAACAAAATGAGCCCTGGGGGCCCAGTCTGAGTGCCCCTAGCACCAGCTGCTGGCTGTGTGGAACTCGTATGTCCATGCACTGCCAGCCCAGCCAGCTCATTTCAGACCTGCCAACAACCAAGCTCCCCACCCCCAGTCAAAAACTGGAAACCCTGAAAACCCACAAACACATAGGCTGCTTAGTGACAGCTGTGCTCCAATAGACACTTAGTAATTACTAAGGATACAGGGGAGAGGAAAAATAAGCTGTAACACAGTGAGCGAGTCATTCTCAGTCACAAAACTGTTTACTTGTGATACTTTGCCTTCCTACCTATGTCCTCACTGCTGCCAGATAATGATGATCAATTCCTCAGCGCCCAGGGATATGTCCCTAAAACCGAGGCCAGCTCCACTCTGCCCTTGAGCAGAGGCCATGTGCACTCTGCTCACAAATGGTGCTCACGGCTGAATGACCCAGCAGTCATGTTGTTGGAGAGCAGAGAAAGCACTTCTGATGCACTAGCATCCACCCAAAGGTGAAGTACTGCCAGTAACACTGCAGTGGACATCTTCTTGGCCCACTCTCACAAGACCTGGGGAGGGAGCAGGGTCAGGGAAGGACTGTGAACCGGCAGTTCCTGTGCTGTGAACATGGCGCGGCAGGAATCCAGAGTGAGCAAGCGCATGCTGTCCTGCAGCAGGCACCAGAGCCCTCACACAGACTGTCCTCAGCTGTCACTACAGGGAGCAGATGGGAAATCGAGGCACAAAGGGGAAGAACCTGTCACATGGCAGAAGGAATTGAAATCACCTCCTTTAGTTTTTAGGCATCTTTTGGACTATCAGTATGGAGAGTGTAGCAGGTTCCCTTCCTTTGCCAGTAGAGTCACTTTAAGAGAGACTGAAAAACTGAAATCACGGGGTCCTCATGGCTGGTCACCACCAGCACACTGCGGAATTTGTCAAACAGCATCAGCAGCTGGGAGCGACGCATGTTCTCGTTGTACATGATCTCCTCCAAATGGTGTCGGCCTCGGAAATAGTGCAGCAGCCTGCAGGGAAGAAGAGCAAGGGAGGCACGTGGGCCAAATGCAAGTGCACGCAGATAGAACTGATACTGCCACCCTCAAGGTTTCCTCTCCCATGGGACGCAAATCAGAAGGTGTTTGCATTGTGTCCCCCATTTACATGAAAAGCAAAGTGAATTAAATGGGTTCTTTACCTTAGGCATGCCTAGCACAGAAATCCCTGGGAAGAACAGGGGACTCCCCCTCCTCGGGACTTTGCAGAGGTCCTCCTTGTATCAAAAGGTTTCCTAGCCTGGGGCGTTTCCTGAGACTGTCAATTTTCAACATAGTTTTAACTCCAGAAAGCAACCACAAGTGCCAACAAGCCTTAGAAAGTCAGGAAGTGGCAGATATACTTCTGCCCTCTCTTACCTGGGTCTACGCTGCCCTTCATCACAGCTCTGTATCAGAGGCCTGGGTACCTACAACTTGCTTTTAGAATTAAGAGTGTATTTTCCCCTCACAGCAGCACAAGGGCCTTGGTATCTACAGGTCATGCACTCTTGAGGTTTGGTCAGCCTGGGGTAGGTGGAGCAGTCACAACAGCGAGGTGGAAATTTTGGTGACAGGCACCACAGAGAAGCTCTGGGAGTTATAAAGTCCCCAAAGAGCCCCAAAACCCTGAAGTCTAAACTAAAACCACACCGACTCCTTAAATTCCCAGCTCTCTTTAAACAGAGATGGCACAGATACCCCTTTGCTGGGCCCCAACATGCTAGAGACATCAGATAACCTCAGCATGCACAGCCAATCACAGCCAGGTCTAAGACAAACTGCTGCAGCCTCCTCACTGCAGCAAGTCCCCGACTGCTGAGGACCTGCTCCCCAGAGACCCTTCAGAGCTGTAACACCAAGCCAGCCCTCCTGACAAAGCTAGTTTGCTGCTCGGTCTCTTGTCTTAACAACCTCCCAAACGTAGGAACCATACTGCACATGCCACTCATGCTCCTACCCATCAAGGGCCAAATGCATATGCCAGCATCACTTCCCCAGCTACACAGACAGATGTGTGTCTGCATGTGTTATACATCACGCTCTGCTCTGCGCTTCAGCAGCTTTTGCTCATGTTTCCATACCCGTCTACAGTTTAGGAATATGCTGGCCTGCTGCTTCATGCCAAATGACAATAAAAATGAGTGGTGATGACAAGATCTGTTTTCCAATTCATTCATACAGTCCTCATGCAGGGACAGCTCTCTAAAGACACCAAATACCCCTTAGAGCATTCCTGCCCATGTTCACATGACAGTAGGATGAGGCCTTTCATGCTTTCCCTGAAGGAGTGACGTCTGTCTGGCTGTCTTCTGCTGCTCAGGCTAGGCACTCCTGTCACCCGTTACCCTTCACAGCTGACTGGAAAGGAGTCACTGTGCAACAAGTCTCCCTCCATCACACCCTCCTTCTAAACTGCACAGAGTAGGTTTTACCTCCAGCACACTGCCATTTGTGTTTCTCTGCTCTCCAGCTTGCCATGTCCCTCCTCACCCTCCTCTCGTTCCCCAAACAGCTGTATGTAAGCTCAGAGCTGGGAACCTCACTGCCTCATGCCTGCAGGCAGCCCGGGGCTGCGCAGCCCCCAGCACACTGCAAACTCCCTTCTGCTTTGATGTTCATCTGCCAGCTCTCAAGCTGGCACCATTATGTAGAATATAATTGCTATGTCTCTGTACCTGCAGTACAAACAAACAACAGACAGACAAGCTCCCGTTGTATTTACCTTTCCACTCTCTATCTGGGCTGTGCATTTGCCTTTTGCAGTATCTCCCACTGGGTATTTAAATCAGGCTAATTGGCTTCGGCAACCAGTGCACTGGGAAGTGGCCGTTAGCAGGGACAGGGTGGGTTTGTATGTGCATGTGTGAAAACCAGACTGTTCCCTGAGGTATTAACAGTAATTTCTGTATCTTGTATCACTGTTCAAAAAGTGATTTTGAAGATTTTAAAAGCTACCTATTCCCTCCCTTCTATAAAGCCGCTCCCTGTGATTGCCCATGCTCTCATCTCCTGGCACAGCTGTCTTCTGTGCAATTAATTCAACGTGGCTTTCAACAGCAATACAGACTAAGCAGGAGTTTTCCAATAAATAAATCCATCCTATATTCAAAAAGAGTCTGGATTTGTAACTGGTCAAGAAGAAATACTTTCCATTCCAATAAAAGCTAGAGAGGATATTAAAGAATATCACAAAAATGCCGGCTGGAAGACACCTCCAAAGTCTAGGCCAGCATCTTTCTCCAGCAGGAGTATTGCCAACACTGTAGTTTTTTTCTAGCCAAGCTCTGAAACCTTCCAAGAACGGAGATCCCC